CGAGGCAGCCCAGCAAGCAACTAGTAGAGATCGCTACCCAGTTAGAGCTGTGCGAGTCCATGAGCCAGTGGATCAACTGATGGCTCGTTTAGATGATTTAGCCAGACAAGTCGAAGATTTGATACGGAGTAGGAGCGAGAAGAAAGTGGCTCTAAAGGTGTTGGAGATGTGGTAGTGAAGGTCACCTAAGACGGAATTGCAGAACTCCCCAGGGTACGGAATATAAAGCAGATGATTTTACAGACAAGTCAGTGGCTTGAGACGGAACAGAAGTGAAAAGAAACTAATTCTAAAGTGCTGGAACTGCGGAGTTGAAGGCCACATACGAAGAAACTGCAGAACACCCCGAGGTACGGAAAATAAGACCATTTCCCAGCAACAACGCAGTAGTAAACAAATTAGTGACCATATCGAGGAACGGAGGTTGCCAGATAGTGAAAAACCTTGTTTTAAAGCTCTTAAATTTATACAGTGAGTGGCAACAATAACGGACTGTCCATCAAATGGGAATATCGATGGAGTTCCTTGCAGAATGATCATTGACACAGGAGCTAATGTTACCATCATTAGGAAAGATTTAGCTGAACAGTTTAAAGATAAACTTATTTGGACGCCATCCTGGTTACCCTTCAGACTGCGTCTGGTGACAAGATCGACATAAACTGGGAAGTTAAACGTAAACATCACGTTTGGAAGTGCCGCCTACCATCACACGGCATATGTGGCGGATATTACAGATCCATGCATACTCGGATTGGACTTTTTAAGGAAATACAATTTTTCCTTAGACTTGAAAAACAACAAACTGCTTTCAGGATCTGAAGACATGACTATCCATCCTAAGAAGGGATCCTCACCTGGAAATGCCGACGCTTTGTCCGAAAGAACCAGCTCGAGAAACAGCCGAAATCATGCTAGGGTCGAAAAAGAAACACCAGACTACCAGCTATTCTCCATCTCAGATGCTCTTCGGTCGAGACCTTCGTCTGCCTTGTGACCGCCTGTTTCATCGCCGTACGGATGCGCCTTCATCGCCTGAGGAACACATCCAAGATGTCAAGGCCCGTTTTGAAGTGATGCACCGTTCCGCACGAAAGCGAGTGAACTTGGCGACGGAGAAAGTGAAGACCAGATACAAACACGAGAGCTGCTGGACATAGATCCAACGAAGGAGACAAGGTGTGGTTGTGGAACCCGATTCGACGAAAAGGAGTCAGGCCTGATTTACAGTCACCTTGGGATGGTTCGCACACAATCCTAAACAGGCTAAATGACGTCATGGTTCGGATTCGTAAGTCTTCGAACTCTAAACCTAAAGTCGTTCATTACGACAGGTTAGCTCATTACTATGGCCATAGTACATAATGTAAATAATTGTAAATAGTATAAGACCATGGTCCTTTTTGTTTATAAATGTGTATTTGATTTGATTTGCATTTAGTATTTGATTTGTATTTAGTATTTGATTTGTATTTAGTATTTGTTTTGTATTTAGTATTTGATAGCATTTGATTTGTTTAGGTTAGTTATTGCATTTATTGTTTATATTGTTTGATATTGTAATGTAATGTTTATGCCTCAGTTGCATTTATGCCACAGTTGTAAGTTTAGCTTCCTGTCCAGGGATTGTACTGCCCGGGACGTGCAGTGTTGGGAAGGTGGCAGTGTTACGAATTTGGTATTTAAAAAGCTAATGTTAGTTCAATTATAAATTAAATGGTTTTATTTCTCGCGCAGTGCAGCGCGTGACGAATATTAAAAGAAAGCTAAGCCGGAAAAATTAAAAATACAAGAGCGCGTGCGTTAAATAAATAAATATCTCTTTTTGATTTCGAGAAAGTGCTGGAAAATTCTAGCGCGTGATTTTAAAATCTTATAAAAGGAGGAAAACATCTCAGTTCGTAGTAGTTGCTTAGTTTGTTGTTGTTTAGAAAACTGCCGTTGTTGATTATAGCGAATTCGCGGATTAGCGTTCTTTAGCTGTTTTGAATTACGTTCTATTGTACATTTAAGTAGTTAAAAGATAACTACTGTGAGATATTGTGATACTGCATGATAATTTGAGAAAATTTAAGCATTTTTGTTGTGATAATAATAAATTTTTGTTCATTTTTCATCGGACTTGTGCATTCATTTCATAACGAACCCGTACACACGCAACAGTAATTTTCTATAATGAATGATGCCTTTTCTTTGAAAATATTCTCGATAAAGTGCAGAATCGCTCACTTATTTGTTCGCCGCTTTTTACAAGGGTAAAAACAATTGCATTTTTGTCAGTTTTCTTTTACTTTTAAAGTGAAAATAGCTCGATGTGTACATAGATAAAGTCAAGGGTGTGCGCAGTGCCATTTTTGTGCAATTCTCGGATTTTTTTTTTTTTTTTTTTTTTTTTAAGTGAAAATAGGTAGATGTGCACATGGATACCGAGTATGTGCAGTTCTTAAAAACGCGTCAAGCGGTGGATGATTCTGCACTTTACCCAAAATTCTATTGCCGACTTTTCGTCATGGGCAATTCCCAAATTGTTAAATCCGTAGGATATCAAAAGAGGATTTAAAAATTAAACTAGTATTTCAATGGCGTCTTAAGAAATATAGAACTATATAAACTTACGCAATCTGAAATCAGCGCGTATGCTAGATTTGGCGCGCTGTTAAATGGGCGAGTTTGCTAGATTTGGCGCTTTTGCGCGTACACTTTCGCTGCAATATTTTAAGGCCCTCGAAACCGAATAGTACCCAATTTTTTTAATAATACATACTTTGAAAGAACATTATCATAAGAGATAAGTATAGAAGTAGTATGAAAAGAAGGGGGAAAAATATTGAAAGGTTTAAGATTTTAACGGTTCCCCAAAAGGGTTTATACCAGCGATTCTCCATCTGTTGACCAACCCGTACCATCTAAACAACATTTAGAAAGCTTTAGTACCACCATTACATTTTACAATATTATATTTCAGTTTCTTAAAAGAAATATTAAAATGAATATACAGGGTGTTTATAAAGTCCCGGACCCATTTTGATGTTTAATAACTCATAAAATAATGAAGATATAAACAAACTTATGGCATTTATTGATGGAATAACATTTATATTTTCCTTTTCAGGTTTGAATATCTTTACTTTTGTAAATATCGTCTGCGCGTGTGGTTAATTTCATTTTTCAGTCTAAGTATCTGTACTTTTCTAAATGTCGTCTGCTTATTAATTGCATTTTTCTCTCTTTTGTTTTTTGGCAACTATTGCAATGTTATGTTTACTTTTTGATGTGTTTGTTTTAGCACTTTTGTGTGTGATGTTTTATTCGATCGGATATTAAGGAGAATGCATACACCACAACACATGCTTGCCGGTACCTGGCGTGAAATCGAATATCGACTTGATATTCCCCGTGCGACGAAGGGGCCACACGTGGAAGTTCATTGACAAGGGTCATGAAACTTTTTGAGTCTATCTAATCATTTATGTTATTAATTTTAATCTATCTTTACTATTTTATGAGTTATTACACATCAAAATGGGCTCGGGACTTTATAAACACCCTGTATTTTGCCTCTTGTACAAACTATAGGCTATTTGTATTAAATGTGTAGACATAAAAATATCAAATTAAAAACTGGTTAATATTTTAATTATCAAAATTTCAGTTATAACATTTTAATTCTAAAATTTAGTGTGAGATTTGAACTTATTTTTATCAGCTTCTTTATTGTCTGGTCTATTTTCACTTAGTTTTAACCGACTTTTTTAACGTTTTGTGTGTTACTTTTATTCATTAAATATCATGTTCTTCTATCTTTACTATTTTATGAGTTATTACACATCAAAATGGGCCAGGGACTTTATAAACACCCTGTATTTTGCCTCTTGTACAAACTATAGGCTATTTGTATTAAATATGCAGACATAAAAATATCAAATTAAAAACTAGTTACCATTTTAATTATCAAAATTTCAGTTATAACATTTTAATTCTAAAATTTAGTGTGAGATTTGAACCTATTTTTATCAGCTTCTTTATTGTCTGGTCTAATTTCACTTAGTTTTAACCGACTTTTTTAACGTTTTGTGTGTTACTTTTATTCATTAAATATCATGTTCTTCACACTTAAACCGCAAACTTCGATTTAACTGCAATATCACAAAATATTTGAAAGAGCATATCTTTACAATTTCCGATACACGGTCTCGCGCTGGAGATTCCCCCCCCCCGTAACAGCGATGCCAATCCTCGCTTTGAAATCGTTGAATTGCTTAATCGAAAACTAATAAGTACTTTGCAAAATATGAAATTGATAATAAAACAAATTCAAAATTCGATTGCTTGCAGATGCCCATATTAGGGTGGAGACGTACATTCAAAATTTGGATGCTTCTAGGTCCGTCGTTTTATCACAACACAAAAAACATACATACATTTATGCAGAGTCTTCATTATTTAATAATTTAAATATAATACAGGGCGATATTATTTGGCGGCAACAATTTAAAAACTGATTCGCCGTTTATAGTGAATCAACGCAAAATGCCAAAAGGAAATTAATAAAAATTCATGTCCTTCTGTTCTAAAAATTCATGCATTTAAGGGTTAACAATACGCATTCATTTCTACTCTCATTCACCGAAAATAATTACCATGAGTGATTAGAAATGGTTCTCTCAGCCCCATTTGGTATATGATAAATACCTTTTACTGTATATGCGTTCAGGAAAATTAAAAAAATGTAGTCATATGTATGCATGTGTAGTGTTCTCTTCACTCCTGGAGAAAATGAGTGTGTTGGTTGCCAGATTTCATTATCGTCCATAATTCCAAAACGTAGCTTAGCTGTTAGAAAAAGCCGCAAGAACCAAATTACTTACTCCTCTATAATTTTGTCTTTATTATCATTCATTTATGCTGTCGTGCTGTTCAATTAACTTTTGTGAAAGTAAAAAAAAAATATGAAATTTTCTTTCTCGTGTGCCGTCAATTGATTCTCGTTTTTCTTGCAGATGGTACAAGCGATACAAGTTTTGAGGTTTCACCTGCTGGAGTTAGAAAAGGTAAATTTTATTATATTTTAAAGACTTTTATTCTTTAAAATAAGCCATTTTTACTTCCTTATACAATGTAAAAAGGAAGTGTTGTAATCGCGAAAAGTTTCAGGCAGCATATTTCAACGAAAATATCCATTTTGACCGCTATCGAATGCAATTGAACGATGTTTTTGCGTGACATCTGTACGTAAGGACAGAATAAAAGACTCTTTTCCTCTAAAAAAATTATAAAACTGCTTTAAAATGAGTTCTGAAGAGAATTTTTCATGATGTCTGTACGTACGTGCGTATGTATGTATCTCTCATAACTCAAAAGCTAGCAGCCTCAGAAGGTTGAAATTTTGTCTGTAGGACTGCTATTAAGATGTAGATGTGCACCTCGTATTTTGATTGCAATCGGACGCACGAAACGTATGTAAATATATATATGTTACGGTGAAACACCGAAATCTGGAGAATGTCGACTTTCACCGGTGAATGTCAACATTCACATAGTCGCTTGGTGTATGTATGAAATATTTTCCAAATACTCTTGTTTCTGACTTACACCGGAATGTCGACATTCACCATGTACTAATGGTGAATGTTGAACATATAAGAATATTATATTTCCATCTCCGTAATTCATTCGCGAAAAAACGCACTTGAGACTCAAAGTAAGAATTTAAGAATATAAGAACCTAAAACACAAAGTACATTCAAAATGAGAAAGGAAAATAATAGAAGTTATAAACTTGCCAAATTATGTGATTCAAATCTTATTTATTGCAACAACTTAAACTACTATATATCACACTTTGAATTGCACAAGAGGACCTTGCTTTTACAACTGCATTTATTTGTGGAACACTTCCTTTTGGAATGGCAGTGTGTACATTGTATACTCCTCTCTTTTCGACCTACACCAGAGCATATCTGTGATTGTCGACATACACCGGTGTACAAGAATGTCCGAATGTACAAGAATGCAAAGAAATATTCGAACTTTCACCGACGTATTTGGTGAATGTTGACATTCTCCAATTTCGGTCTTTCACGGTAACATATGTATATACATCCACTCCGTTACCCGGCAAGGTGATTTATTTCTTTACTCTTATATGTTTCTAAATTGTGAATTTTTTTGCTTTTTTTTTGCTTATATGTTTGTAAATTGTATATTTTTGCTTTGAAAATGATTGAATTATGTTGCTCTTATCTTCCGGTTAAGGGTTTTATGCCTTTAGTAAATCTGTCTGCAATATTTTTAGAAATTATCGACAATTTTAAAATTGTTTAAGTGCCGCTAAGCTTAATAATGTTTTTGATGGCGGTCATTGCTTGTTGACATTTGAAACAGCAGAGTAGTGGATTTGTTGCCAATCCACAGAAACGTAGCTTCGCAACAACAAAGATAACGCTTTCATTTATTATTGCGAATTAAAATCATGCATAATCCTTTCTGGAATTTTTTCGAGGAAATAAGTGTTTAAGATTTACTTCTTAATTTTAAATACAGATATTTTCAGTTTTTATGTATTTTTGCCGTGTCGCGAAGTGAGAACTGAATTAATTGAATGAGAAATACTCAATCGTCTGTAAAAAACTGTTTCTTTTTTGTTTTGTTTGCTTAATTTCTTTTATACATCGTTCTAGCTTTATTATAGTATTTGAAAAGAACATGTGGCAACGATAAGATAATTCTTCAAATGATGTAAATTTTGTTCATTCCGAGGTATAATATGAACGAAATATTAAGAGAACCTTAAGAGAAGTGTCGCTATGGTAAACAAATAGATTGAATTTTAAAGAGTGCATTTATTCTATTGTGGTTTATGCGCTGTCGACGAAGTAAATTTAATTCAATCCAATATGTTTAAATGAAATGCAAGAAAAAATGCGTATAATTTAATATTCCGTACAAGGAAGTCATGTTGTGTACACATCAGATTTTTTAACTTGATGATTTAGGCGTTTAGTAGTTGTATGATAATATATAAACTTGCTTATTTATATTGAATTTTTAAAAACATATATCAAGTACGTGTGTTAAGTGACTGATACAGTTATTTTCTTTAAACCAACATTGCTATATAATAAAAGGTTTCCTTCACAGTACAATCTTTTGGAAGAATAATTACTTTCTTTTATTTATCCTACGACTGAATAATCTACAAAGCTGCTACATATAACAGGTTTGATAAGACAATAAAGACAACTCTTAAATCAAATAATTAATTTATTAAAATGCAAATAATATTCAATATCGTAAAGACATTGATAAATTATATAATATAATATATGGTAAATGATATAAAATAAAGATGACATGAAATTGTTATAAAAGGACACTGAAGATGAACTATATACAAGTAATAAAGTATTAGAAAATTTGATCAATACCATAATGTCCATAAGCTAAACTATTCACACCGTCATTTAACAAAAACCGTTTATCATCTAATGGAGATAAACTGACTTTTCGCAATAAAATTGTGCTTGGGTGATGCTTACGACTTCCAATTTTGATCATATTGTGCCTATGTAGCTTTTTTCCGAAAAACCTGTTGTATGTAGCAGCTTTGTAGATTATTCAGTCGTAGGATAAATACAAGTAAGAAAGTAATTATTCTTTCAAAGAGATTATATTGCAAAGGAAACATTTTATTATATAGTAATATTGGTTTAAAGAAAATAACTGTATCAGTCACTTAACACACGTACTTGATATACGTTTTTAAGAACTCAGTATAAATAAACAAGTTTACACATTATCATATAACTACTAAATGCCTAAATCACCAAATTAAAAAAAGAAAAACCTAAGCACACGTTCTTTTTCTATGACGTAGCAGCTACCCTACCCTACTCTACTTGATAAGGCTCCCTGTCCCCATTTTCAGATAAGTTTCTCTCCCACGGTTGGCCTTTGCTTCTCGGGAGCTCCCTCAACTCCCGCTCCATGAGCTTCCGATACAGAACTGTCATTTCCCCTACTCCCTTTAGATCATAAATACTTCATTATTTTATAAATCACGATTTCAAATTTTTAATTTTATAATTTCTACATGACATTTTACTAGATTTAAACTGATGATCTAATATCCGGAATTACCGATGCCCCGAGGAGTCAGGATTTCGGACTGTGTACTATATTATTTCTCCCGCCTTCTTAGCATGTCTTCGTAGTGTAATGGTCAATACGCTGGGCGCGTATTCCAGAGGTCCGCGGTTCGATTCCTGTTGAAGGCGTTGCTCATTTTTCACTTCTCCTGCTTCCAAAAAATACCTAATGTCTCTACAAAGTAAATGCGGTCAGACTTGTTAAGTAGAATTGCTAGAAAAAGACCATTCCTCAGTTGAACATAGTTTGTACTGTCTTTAGCTTTTTTGGAATCGATTTTTGGTCCTAAAAGTCCTTAATTTTGACCAAAATCAGCAAAAGGTCTTTAATTTTAATCATCTGGAATTTCTGTCTGTTTTTACGACTGCCATTTTGAGTGTGAATTAGCATTTTGGAGGAATAATTTTGGCGATTCACTGACTTATATGGTTATCTTTTGAATGGGTTCATGGGTTATAATTTGTTTCTATTTCTAATATAAAGGATGGGGTACTCGAGGTTCTAAAGCAAGAAGTGAAACGTAAGCATTTCGAAATTCATTTTTTCCAATAAATAGCTCTGAAACAACTTTTCGCTTTGGGGATGTGAACTCTTTTATTAAATGGCTCTAAATTTGGCGACTTTTCAACATTTTGGCAATTTTAAGATCAGTTTGTACAGAAACTTTCTAAATCCGAGATCTGAGAATTTTTCGATGATTTCTTTTTAAACATCGTAACATTAATTTCATTAAAATACATTATAATTTATGATTAATTTCATTAAAATACATTATAATTTATAAATATAAAATATTTCATTAAAATACATTAAAATAAAACATTTTTATTTTTCCGCTGTCATATTATAAAGTTTCATTTTAGCAACTTATTATACAATATTTAAATCTGAAAATAAACAAGGTTTAATGCTTTAAAGTACAATTTAGGAAGCAGCTCATAGAAAAAGCAAAATTAGTTATGCAATTAAATTAAAAATGTCTTATAGATTTTTTAATAGTTTTTCCCATGTAATTGTCTCAGAACATTCGAAATTCTCAGAATTATTCTCAGTTTTTGTCTATAAAATTAATTTTACAATTTTTCCCTCCCTTTTTTCCCCCTCAAAATATTTCTGGCTTTTTGCTGTTACAGAATTGGTAAAGATAATTTTTCATTAGTATTTTAGACATTGCAGCTTGGAAAGTTTAGAAAGATCTGAAGGCAAGATTTGAGAAATGAATGACAAAATGGAAAATGTCTCCGCGGTATCAATAAGTAATGGATGTATTTTAGAGAAAGTTTGCAATGAATTTCTTACTTTTTGGAGAACGTCTGGAAGAACAATGAAAACATAATATTTGAATGTTTTACTCCTGATACTAGAATCTTTTTCTTAACATGTTTATCTTCCCTTTATTTCCTCCACTTTTCACTAGACACAAGCGTGGAAAATATCAAAAATGCTTCTAATCTTATCACATGGGCAGGTATTATAGAGATTTTTTATTAATAAAGAAATTGAAAACTTTTAAAGATTCATCATGTCTTAATGCATCATACACAGAGCTGGGCACTGGGCATTTTCCCACCTGATGCAATCTCTGTGGATCCTAATTCTGCTACCTAGTGCCTTTCTAAGTTCTGCTTCCAATGCCTGCTCTAAATTCTAAAAGTTTTGCTGTTTCTAGATTTTGTTTTATGGTGTGTCACTAAATTCTAAAAATTCTGCCACACCAACTCTGTAACTGGCCTTTACCATATATATTTCATATTTCTTCTGAATGTTCATATTAAGGAAATAAAATTAGCCACTTCTTCTATGCATTCTAAATGCATTTTATGTTTTTTAGAATAACAGAAATCTTTAATTAAATCCAAAAATTCTAAAATGAAAGTGAAACATGAAGAAAGAAACTGAATGC